TATATATATACACACGTTTTGGGATGCACACAGCTGGTTTGAAGCGTTTGGATCATGTTTCTGGTGGCATTCTATCTGTGTGCTTACTTTTGCCCATTTGCACAAAATCAGGTTGCAGCAGTTCCCTTTTTTTCTAAGCACTGCCTAAGCACTGCCTTTTAGCGTGAGACATTCTATCTTTAAGTCCCAGCGTGTATGTAATACCTGCACATATATATATATATAAGGGGATGATTTGGAATGACGGACGTTTTTGCCAGGAGGGATTCTATTGAAACCAAGGTGATGTAGCAAAGGTCGACCAGGAGTTGAAGAGATCTCGCGGGTGCATGGAGCCCCTACTGAGGCTGACAGAGGCACCTCAGATGGTGACTAGCTCAGAAGAATATGTGCAATTGGATCTTCTGCGCTCTACTCCAATGAAGGATGAACGTCAGGTGATGTGGGTCATCCAGGATGGTGAGGATGTGAACTCGCGGCAGTCTTTGCCACAGTGGATGTGGCCGGCACTGGAGGAAAAGATTCTTGGCTGGGCAGAAGAGAACAAGAAGTGGACACAGAGAATCAATGCTCGGTTTGCTCAGGGAAAGGTGCTGACTCCTTCGCAAAAAAAAAGCTGCATGATGCGTTTGTGGCAGAAAGGAGCCAATGCAGTCTCCTCTTCAGCATGAAACATCAATGCCTTGTGACCCGGATCCGGAGCAATGCTGATTTGGACCGATTGCGAGCAGAGTGCTTCTCGGTGGTGCTTCATTTGTCCGCAGACCCCCAGAATCTGATGCTCCAAACCGGTGACGGCCAGAACAAGCGATTGATTCTTCTGCAGGGCTCGCCAACAAGTACTGAGGAGTTGCCGGGTTGTTTTGCCGATGCCGGGGTAGCTGGCTCATTGGAGAAATTCCTTGCAGATGAAGAAGATCCAGGTGACTCTCAGCCAGAGGATGATCCGCAGGTCCAGGAGGCCATGGCTCTTGAGGATGGAGATGGGATTGAAGTTATGGCACTCAGCGATGACGAGCAGGATTTGCGGGAAGTCATGTTGGGTGCCGGCACAGTCCGCCGTGTCAAAGACTTCTTCAATCGACCAGCCTACCAGCACTTAGAAAGCAAAGGATTGGCACAAGTCCCGCCGGGGACTTATATCGGATACCACAAGACTTCGAGGAGTTGGCAAGGCTTCTTTCAGAACGGCTCTGTTTCGCTGACACATGATGGCACAACAGGTCGCAATGAGAAAGAAGCTTTGCTGGGCGTGCTCTTGGGATTGGCCGAGTGGTATTGTGCAAAGCATGCCAGAGACCGCTTGTGGGGCAAGCACTTGCAGACTCTCCGTCATGTCAGTGCAACGGAAGCCATTGTCTGATATGCATGACTGCAATCGTAGATGTTCAGAAGGCATTGGAGTTCTTTTCATGCATAAGACTTGGAAACGGATATATATATATATATACCATGTTGCTTGCATGTGTTTGTATATAGATATACGGTACCTCTATTGCACCCACATTCTAACTGTGTTGTGTGAACTTGCCTTCCTGCAGATTCGTGGAGGCCAAGGCCTTTCTTGCATGAGATGCCAAAGGCATTGCAATCCAAGATTTCCAGAAGGTATTGGGAGATGGCATTTCATATATATATATTTATATCTTTATTTATTTATAAATATATCTATAATTTTTATATATAGACTTGGAAACGGTTGTCATAAGGCGTGCATATGTGCGCCGGACAAAACATACGAACCATAACCTAGCCTCAAGACATTGCCTAGAATGGGTCGGCCCCCATTGGTTGTGCAGGTTTGGAGGGTTGGTTGCGTTTCAAGCTTTGTTGGTGGCATGAAGCTTGCCATAGTTTGTCACGCCAACAGTGAAAATACACTTGCCTTCCCAGTATCTTTACTTAAGATTCATCAGGTTCTTTGCCACGGCGAGTAATTCACACGGTGCCTGTCCTGGTGTTTAAATCCCATGACTGCACGTCTCAGAGAGCTTACGGGGTTGGGGTGAGAAAAAGATCAGGCCGACGCTTTTCTGAGCCTCCAGTCTTGGCATGTTTCTTGCGGAAGGCATCGATGCGTGCATATACTGTATATATATACATACATGGTATATACATACACTGTGTGCATATATTGACGGACTTGGA